CTAGAGAATTTAACATAACCACTACCTTTGGTACGCGTATTGGCGATCGTAGCCGTGGAATCAAATGTCTTGTAGGTACTTTTTTATCTGGTAAGGATAAGAGATCTGTCATAGACCATGAAACTTTCGGGCATTTTTCTGATCACCTCTTACAACACATTGGGCTCATACGACACCCACGAGTTGATGCCTTATGCTTCCACAGCACGCTTAACCTCAATTGTGTAAGGTTGTTTCAATAAATTTCATTGCATTAACAATTTACAGTTTTGAGTTCAAGGTTTTATTATATATATATATATATATATATATATATATATATATATATATATATATATATTCTATTTCCTCCTTTATTTTAGCCTGCTAAAATAGTGTCCATTTTCCGTGGAAAATGTTTTATTTGAAAGCTGGTGCTTGTCGTGTCGTCCCATATAAATTTGTTCAAGATTTGACCAGTAGTTTTGAATTATCCTTAACTTCGAATACGTTGATGATGTCCTCATTTTATTTATATTTAAGTCCGTCGTACAAAATTTTTAATTTTACCACCTGCTTGTTTCAACTGTTGTTTTAAACATACGTGATTGAGTGAGTGAACACTTATAGATACAAAGCCTGTTTAGCAATAAAATCTATTTCGATTCGAAACTGGCTTAACCAAGCAGATGCAGTGAATTTTTACTCGAGTGTTTTGTAGAGTTTAGACGATAATTTTTTTAATAAATAATTCACTCAAGATTGATCAGTGAAACTTATTATATATAATGATAACCCCAAACGTAATTTATTCGTCGTCGGACTCTATATTTTTTAATATTGACGTCAGAGTAACTTTAGAAAATTCAATTCAAATGAATCCGGTGTTCACACCGGTAGCTGCGAATAAGGAGATAAAACATTGTTTCAATAGATATTAAAATAGATTTAAGTTAAATGACTCTGCTATCAGTACTTACATGAACGAAGTGTATTTAAATTTTGAACTCGTCGATAGAAAGTCGGAATCATTTGGGTTTAAATCAACAGAGGAACAATGAAAAAAGAATAGGGTTACCGTTATAAAGCTACTGTTTTATTCTAACTGTAGTTTGCTAATTATATCTGTAGCATTTAATTAAAGTAACTTTTTTCATCAAGTTATAAATTATGAAAAATGTTAGCTGTGATATTATGGCATTATTAATTTGATTGTAAAGACGTTCAGTATATTTTAATATTGAACATAAATATAACATTGTACTATATAAATAAATATAGATAACAACATCACACAAAATGTAAAACGTTGTACGGGTAGGTACTTATAGTTCTCTGACTTCAGGTTTAGAAGATTGTAGTTTATATATATAAAGCAACTCTAAGCAGAGTGCTAACTCTTTTATCATGGAGTCCCTTCCTCATGTTTAACATCGTTATTATTTAGTCCAGTAAGTAATTAGTAAGAGTCAGTTGGCAGAATAACTGTAAAGTAAAATAAAGAAAAGTTACAGCCTATATACGTCCAACTGCTGGGCACAGGCCTCCCCGCATTTCTGAGAGGATTTTTCATGTAAAACAGTGCAATAAATGAAAATTTTATTACTATGGTAATACGTTGATAAAATTAATTTCTAATAAAAAATACTTCATAAAAAATATTTCTTAACAATCCAAAAATAATGTTTGCAAGTTTGTGAAGCTAATAAGGTTTCACTTCTGACGTGCAGTCCTACGACTGATAGTTTGCTTTTAAATATTTTGATTGGATTTAATATAATGGTTAGTAAGTTATGTTACGTTAGACTTATATACAATATTTCCTTTACAATTCCCGTTCTACCATGAAGTATAATACAAAGATATTACTTATTATGTAACACATTTACGCTGCAGTCATATTAGGGTTGTAGCACGCATTGTTCGTATATATCCCAGCCGCCAAATTTTATGAACGCACTACGCGGCAAACCTCCCGATACCATCCACGCCATTTGGATGCTTGGCGGTCCACCACTGTACGTTTCACAAGGAGTTTTCTTCCGCGTACGACCTCTCTGTGGAATAGTTTACCACCGGCGATTTTTCCGGACCGATACGACCTGGGGACCTGCAAGAAAAGAGCTTACTCCTTTCTAAAACACCGGCAACGCACTTGCAATTCTTCTGGTATTGCAGTTGTTCATGAGCGGCAATAGTTACTTAACATTAGGTGAACCGTATGTTCGTATGCCCCCTCTCCTATAAAAAAATGCATATCACAGAATACGAGCGTAAAATGTGTTTCGTATGTCTGTGTAGAGAACCGGAGAGTTAGCAGTTCTCGACACTCTTCTCAGTTTATTCCAATAACCCTTCTAATATTGAGGCTCCAATCTTAGTCTTTAGGATGACAAGCCATCTGCATTTTGATTCTTAATTAAAGTTATATGAAGATGTCTATGGGCATCCACTTATCATTAGGTAAACTGTGTGGTGGTTTTGGTAAAAGAAATTACACAACATTCAAAATAATAGCAAAATTTTTGTTTCTATGTGATTTACGTTCTAATTTCAGAGTTCATACTTTACTAATTATCACCATACAATAATTTTTGTTTATATAGGAAGTTTTAACTAATGTTATTTAGATATGGGTACTTGAGTAAACTAATATATTATGTGTATATAAATAACGCTATTTGGCTATTATATTGTTTGTTGGTTTAAAACATCAATGTTTTTAACGCTTTTAAATACCTGAGTAACAAATTTAAATAAAACCTTAATTGCGGAAATAAACACCATTAAAATTTACATGCTATCAAAATCGGAAGCTATTTTGTTTAGTATTGTTGTTTACTCAAAGCAGTAAGTAAATAAAAAACACGACTTTGATGTTAAGTTATATAATAAAGGTCGTTTCGCTTACTCCATTTATTCATTAATTTATCCATGACAGTCTATCAAAAGTTCACTGTTTAACACATAGGCTTCCCCATACATTGTTCATTGCGAGTATATTTGCAATACCACGAGTATAACTGCGCTAGGAAAGCGGTTGGCAACCGTATTTTTTAAAAGCTGTTGTATCAAAAAGATGCTGCCAATCTTCTGCTTTATTTCCCTCTGTCGCTGGTGACCTCACTCACGGATGGTCGGTGGTGAGTGAAATATTGCGTGGCTACTACTTTTTTATAGTATAAGGGTGACAAACGAGTACATAGTGGATGGTAAGTGGATGCTGTGTCTCATAGACATCTACGTCTATCCTCGTTTGCAAATTAAAATGCAGATGCGTTGACACCCGTGAGGACTAAGATGGAATGCCTCTTTTCCATTAAAAAGGGTCTCCGGTTCTCTACACTCACCATACGAAACACAGCAGCGTTGAGCTGCTATTTTACGCCTTTATTCTATGAGAGCGTGGTCCTTTCCTGTTCGATCCGACGCATTCACGCTACAACTATGCAATTAATATAGCTGCGGCATGGTTCTACCACGTTTAAGACTTACTATTATTATATACTTGTCGGCGATTACACAATATAAATTAGTTTTCTAAAAATACCTGTGACAAATCATTGGCGTACGCTCGCACAAAAACAAGAAAGACGAAATTACAAACACCTCAATTAAGAATAAAAGTGCATGTTTAAATTATAAACGCCAATATACCAAAAATTCTTTTTTTAAATACATACCTATATTTTAAGCTAGTGGGTGCGTTTGGCAGAAAAAAGCGCTAGCAAGCGCTTATAAGCGCTGAAATAGTTTTCGGCCAGGACACGATTGCTACTTCAGTAGCGCTGACACAATCCGCCATTTTGCTTATTTAATTTGTTTGTTTTGAAGTAGAGTTTATAAGTTGTTTTGTGCAATATTAGTTTTAAGTAATATAATGACGTGAATAAACATATTATACATGTTATTAAAAATTCATGATTGGTAAGTTTTTACTACTTTACAAATATATAATTAAATTAGGTTAGGTTCCCCGATTAAAACTAACATCGTGTCCTGGAGGAAAATAGCTACTTAGGATTTGACAGCGCTTACCGCTTACGATCGCCATTTTGCTTACAAGCGCTTGCTAGCGCTTTTTTCTGCCAAACGCACTCAGTGACTAATGTTTGAAAGACTTAGACTTTCAAGTCATTTCAACTTTATACCCGAGTCTTAAAAACGAAAAGGTTCTATATTCGAAGTGTAGATTTTTTATATAATAATGTACACCGTTAAACGGCTTAATTATTTTACTATTATTGAATAGTTTAGACTTCAGGGGTAAATTTTAAGGTTTTTTTTAATTGGAAAATGGTGACGAACGAGCACACAGTCTACTTGATGGGTTGCTGTGGCCCATAAACATCTACATTTATTCTCGATTATGAATCAAAATGCAGATGCGTTGACACCTGTGAGGACTAAGATGGAATGCTTGCTAAATGCTTCTTTTCCAGTAAAAAGGGTCTCCGGTTCTCTACTCACCATACGAAACACAGCAGCGTTAAGGTGCTATTTTACGCTGGTATTCTAAGAAAGCGTGGTCCTTTCCTGGTGAAGCCGACCCATTCGTACTACAACTATACAATTAATATAACTAACTGTAGCATGGCTCTACCACGTAAAACGAAAGTCAAACTTTCACACATAAAAGTGGAAAAATATGGGAAATTTTAATGTAATTATTTACACACTACTTTTATTTAATATATTTAAAATAATAATAAATTTAATTATTCACACACATGTAGTTGTTACCTTAAATTTGTAACATTTCTTACTCCACCTAAAATCTTAAAATAATTATTGTAATAAGTAGAATCCTCAGGCAGAAAAATAATAATTTCATAGCTTCTGAAGTCGAAATGTTTCAATTCTTCGATGCACTGCACATTTTTTTTTCATTTTAAAGTCGTTTATACTTAAAAATATCATTGATATCTTAACATAAAACTTTTTTCCAAAGTGCAGCTTATTAATTAATGTATGATTTTTTTGCCGTTGATTATTAACGTCTTGGTTTAAATTTGTTTCAGGTTATGGAAACAAAGAACATGATCTACATTGTATCAGAATATGCAAGCAAAGGAGAAATTTTTGGTATGTATCTAAATAAATAACAGAACATATTAGGTTAATAAATTTTACTTTTTCTAACAGTACGTTTGCAATGAGAAACATCCAACACGTAATGTTTTGAAACAAATCACGTTTCGTTGATGGTGGCGTTCGCACTCACAAAAACTGTAAAATTTTCAACAGATATTCAAACTTATCTTTCAACATGACAATAATTCTACAAATTTGTTTTCAAACATTTTGTTTCTGTAGTTATAAAGATATAATATAGTTAAAATATGTAATGTACAATAAACTGTCAAACATATTTCACAACATGTTCTTTGACTATGCAAACGCTTTTTGATACATTGACAGAAAACAGTGTTTAAAACATGTTTTTTTGTGAAAGTCGCATCAGTGCAAACTTACGCGGTATATGTATTTGCTAACACTGCGACACTGGGTTACCAGTTTCAGTTTACTTGGTCGGTTACAATGACATGATGCCTATAAAGGTTTTCTTATAATATATGAGGTACGTAGTTATGATATGATTGACATAATTTAATAAAACATCATATAACAATAATATGTAAGGCGGCAAACCGTTCCTTATTCTGCAGGACGGTCCAGCAATCTCGTATAATAATAATTATTATAATAATATAATATACATAAAAATCAATAATAATAATGTAGTAATAGTTCCGCAAAACGCGTTGTACGTTCCGCATTCTTTGCAGTATCCAAATCTACATAACGTTTCGTTTCTGTCATGTAACCATTAATAAAAGAACTGAATAAATAATTGTAATTATTAAAACGTTTGATATTGTGAACTTAAATTGAAAATAAGGCTGGGTTTACATTTTGAGAAGTGACAAGTGCGAGTGGCAAGTGCACCTGACAAATGACAAGTGATTAGTGCGTACTCGTATTTTATTTCCTTTTATCACTTTTCACTTCTCAAAATGTAAACCGGACCTAAGATTTAGAGTTGGCCCCTTGCTGCTGAGCGTTATAGTCATGAAAAAATTTACACATATTATAGGGATTTTTGTGAATAACACTGTTAGTTTACATTCCTTTAAGAGGATATCTTGAGAACGAACCGTAGTTTTGGGGGCGTGGCTTATCCCTTTGTCGGTGAAGTTCACGGACGACTGAGGGAGTGTCAAAATGAAAGTGATGCAATGACTTCATACACTTATATTCCTATTCCTATCTTAAAAGCTAAAATTTGGCATACTATACATAGTTATATAAACTTAGATGACAATGCAATAATATGGTACCATGAAGCTGATCTTATAATGGACCCAGATGGGCCCTATCAACGCCTATAAAGGCTTGTTTTTAAATAGATGTTATATTTAATTAAGTTTGTAAGTAAAGTTAATCTATTGGCAATTAATTTTATCCTGGAGGAATCCTGTCTTGTTTTGGAATCACCTCATTTGCTTAATACCTTGGCTTCGTACCAAACCTCCGATTATGTGTACTGAGAAAGAAACCTAAACCATATTGAACCACCGTGCTTGATAGTTGTCACCATGTTACCTGGCATAATCAATTATCCAGCAGTACATTGGACGAAAATTCTTTTTTTTTTGAACCAAATATTTAACCTTCGATTCGTCGGTTGAAAAACTTTTATTGTGTAATCACGTTGGATAAGGGTCTACTTTATCTATTACTAACCGATTTTAAAAAGGAGGAGGTTATCAATTCGACTATATGTTTTATTATGTGTTACCTCAGAACTTTTTTCTACGTGAACCAATTTTGCTGATTAGACCTTTTATTTTAAAGCTGGTGCTTCTCGTGGTCCCATATATTTCGTTAAGATCTGATCAGTAGTTTTTGAGTTTTTATCCTTAATAATGCGTATCCCATTGACTTCAAATACATTGATGATATTCTCATTTTATTTATATTGATGTTGGTTGTACAAAATTTTTAATTTTACCACTTGTTTCTTCTTGTATCGTGGCCTAATAGAAGTCTTTGGACAGTAAACCAAATTAGCGTACTTCAATCGTCTTTTTATTCTACTTTTTACCTATATCACTGGTTTCAATCGCGATTTATTTACTTCTGGCACGTGAGACGCTTATTTCGTTAACAATGAAACTATCTTTACTAGAAGTGGTAGCACTCTGCCTTCCTGGCCGTGTACGATTTCGTGTGAACCAGTGAACCCAAGTCTTTTCTAATAAAAGTTGAGACAATCACATATTCGTAACGATGACAGGTCACGTTTCGCGCAAGTACTTTTCCCATTCCTAACACGTCTTGAATGTTGAAACTAGGAACCAGTTCAGACTAAGGAAGCTAAAACGATAATAAATTTTGATCAATATGAAATCAAAGCAAAATATTTTTTGTAATAAGTATGGGTCATAAAAAATCTAAAAATGACTATCGTCTATTCGTTTGCTTTTCGGCTTCTACGTTTTAGGCCAAAAGTTGTAGTTAAACTTAATCCAAGACGGATTAGCATAAAAAGTGATAACACGGCTAGTATAATTGTTGTAATATAATGTTTACACAGAAAGTTTTGCGTAAAAAAGGTTTTTTACTGTATAAGATTTTGGCTGGTTGTACCTAAATAATTGTAAAATACGATTATTTAAAAGTAAAAGTACGAATGCCAAATTTAAATTTTTCTCCACATTAGATAGATAAATAACGACGGGCTGTATTCCGTAACTCCTCATCACCTAAGCGCATATTTTGCGTGTGGGCAAGAATAATGTAATTATTCGAGCCATGAAATCTTCGTGCAGAACTTCGTGCAGGGAGTGATCCCGGCGTTCCGAGATGTTTAGCCCTGTATTCAGCGAACTCCGGACATGTCAATAACACGTGGGCCACCGTTTCTTCCTCCCCCATACATGCCCTTCATGGAACTTCTTTTTAGATTCGAAAAAAATTCTAAGTGGACCACTTATAGTTAGTATGTACTTGTATCTGTTATTTTAAATTATTCTGAATAAGTATTATCAAATAATACAGATAATATTCTGACTTCTAATATAGCATTATAGCGTAGGTTTTATTGACACATCGTTAATTGCTACCCATACATTTCGAAACTTTATTCGAAGCCGTACCAAGAACTTTGTATTTAAATAAATACCCGAATTTAAATTATTTATAAATAACGAACAATCAAAATACATGAACAAGCATAAGAGACAAAACAGAGATTGAAAAAACCATTCATATATTGCTTGGAGATCGAAAGGGTTTTAGAGGGTGTATGCGTAAGCAGGCTTGTAATTATACTGGTTGATTGTTAAATGAGATAAAGACTAACAAACCAAGTAAGAGAAAAAACAGAGATTTAGAAAGCCCTCAATATACCTGTTAGAAATCGATTAAGGACGACTGTGAATTGATCGTTTCGTGTATGACGTAAGCAGGCTTGCAATTACGTCACTGGGTTAACTTAACGGGGGTAGGAGTAAGAGGTTCGGGGGAGGGATTGTGGAAGGCAATATCGCGTTGGTTTGGTACAGCTGACTGCGTTCTCAAAAACAGTCGGTGCCGACGGAATTCAATTTTACAGAATTTAAGTAAAATGCAGCATGAACATTGAACATATTATAATATGTTATCTTCCTTATTATTATTTTTGGTGCTTATAGCCTTTTAAATAATACTTGAATAATTAAAAATAATCATGTGATTTTAACAATAGGGCAAAATTAGTACAAAGTTATAGATTATTTTGTATTCAAACAAAATTATTTTGAAATAAAAATACGCAATTTGTCATACACTAAAAATCCTTTGATCTTGATGAGATTATTTCGTTTGTTGCAAAATATCTTTGAATTATTGCGTGATTATAATTGTAATTTCGTATAAAGGACTATTCTTTTAGGTTATTTTTACAGTATTTAATAAATATTGACTTAACCTAGTTGCTCAAAACTCCATTGCTTGAAATCGCAGATTATATCATAGTGATAACTGATAAGCCACTTGTTCTCGCTTTTTACTTCTAATAATCTTCACTGTTATATGAAAATAAACATTTAATATTGACTTCACTGTTTTATAAGGATTTCAGAAATTTTGTAACAAACAGTATGAAATATTTGGCTAAGACAATGATTAATTATACATATTTATATATCGAAGTTTTTTTATTTGCAGTGTTATAAATTGAATACTGACGATAGTATGAAAAACTTAAGCTTGAACTTAAGCGCTATAAAACAAATACTAATTTTATTAAATGTAAAACTTTCTTAAAGCCGTGGAGCAGGTTAAAGCAAATCGAGAGTCACTCTAATTATATATACATAATTTGCCAATGTATGAAAAATATAGAATCTTGCATAATAGTTCACGCAATATTCACGTCGCGCTCTAATTTCTACTGTATGCATTTTTGCGACCGAATTTCATTAACTAAGTTGATGCAGGCAATTACATTTACATAAAATAAAAATGAAAGAAACGGTGGGATTAACGTAACTTACCACTCTATACTATAGTCGGCAAAACAATTTCACGTATTTCTCTGTGGATGAATTTTATACATGGCTTCACTGCAGGGCGCGCTGCCACTCGTCCGTAGGTTAATTACTAATTACACTCGGAATTATTTGTAAAATATTAAGCCTTTCCAAGGATACATAAGGTTAGCTTAAGCAATGTTTAAATGACCTTTCAAAATGCGCGTGTCTTCGAAAAATTAAAACCACCTTGTCTCTAGAAAGTTTTTAACGTTGTACGTACAACAATACGTATTAGAGGTCGTTTGACATTTAAAGCGACGAGACAGTTTAATTAGTTTTTTGAAAAAATAATATTGCTTATTTTTTATGTAGAAAATATTTGATGTAGTTGGTTTTATGTTACCTTAATTCGTATTCTTTTACTCTAAAAAACTAATTATTAATTTATGTATAAATAATGTACATATATTCAGTTCATTTACGCCCCACTTCTGGGCACAGGCCTACTCTCATTACTGAGGGGTACTAGGGCAAGGAAGTTTCCACCACGCTGCGGCAATGACTCATGATTTTGTAAATTCTTAAACATGCAGGTTTCCTCACAATGTTTTCTTCGCCACCGAGCACGTGGTGACCAGCACTTAAAATTACAATTTACAATTTGAAATTTCTTTGGTGCCGGAAAATGAACCCGGGTTGCTCGCGTACTGTGAAATTTACAGCGAGCGCTTAGCAACCACAGCTATTATATATAAGATATACTTATATTAAATAATTTTTTAAAATATATTTTTATGAATTCGGGTATTTTATTTTGTTTAATTGAGGTTAATATTATTAATTAATAATTATGCAATCGTACGTTATGGTCTTGTTTACTATTCAATTTCGCATGTGTTACACACGATGATCCACCGATAGTCATTTGAGAGTCCATATTTCAGTAATTCAAAAACTTGTTAATCGTACAAATAATGTGAATGAATTTAATAAAAAATGGTACAGCGGTAGATTAGGAGAAGTGTTTTGTGAGAGTGAGTGATGTTTGTCTAGCTAGTCAAAATGTAAACATACGTAAATTTGTAAATATGCAACATAAGCATGACGTAAATGTATATGTACATACGGATAGAAAAAAAAATTCAGACGTTAAGTATGCGGTTAAAATAACGTGGTAGAGCCAGGTTGCAGCTACATTATATTTGTAGCACGATGGGGTCGGCTTGACCGGGGCAGGACCACGCTCTCATAGAATGCCAGCGTGAAATAGCAGCTTAATGCTGCTGTGTTTCGTTTGCTGAGTGTAGAGAACCGGAAACCCTTTTTACTGGAATCGACGCATTCCATCTTAGTCCTCAGGTGTAACAACACATTTGCGTTTTGATTCTTAATTGTGGATGTATGTGGATGTCTATGGGCCACGGCATCCACTTACCATCAATAAAAAACTGATATTCATAATTTTAATTCTGGCTGTGAAGTAATAAGAACCAATAATAAAATACTTTTGTGCGGACTCCAAATGATATTATTTATATAGAATTTAACCTAACTTTAGATTTCCCCTTAATGAAACTAATTTTAAAGATTTTTTCGGGTTTAATTTTGATTTTTTTTAATTTTGGATGTTTCGGGTGCTTTGCAGCACCCTAAACATCTAGAACCTACCTAAATTACCTAAATAATCATCAAAATCTACCTAAATTAGATTTGATAGACCACAAATCCTAGCAAAAGAACACCAATTCCTACCAAGGATGATTCGCGAGGATAATTTCAATAAATTAAAGACATCCCAATTTCAATAGAGAAGGTGGATGGGTTCTGCCATCTGCTTGGGATACTATAAATAATAGAATTCAATCTAAGCCCAAGCATACCACTGCAAGACTTCAAGATACTGTAAGCTCATTCTGCGTAGATCGAACTAAAAATTAAAATTCAAGAAATTGAAGGTAGCGGGGCTAACTATGACATCGGGACGTCAAACACCTCAGTCCTTCTCGTGACCGTAGGTGCTGTAAAGCACTTTGAATGTCGGGAATTAAAAAAATCAACTTATATGTTATTTTATTGCATGTATTGGTATTATATTAGGTATATTTATCTTAGTATAGTTTTATTCCTTTAACTTGTTGCTGAAGACGCTATGTAGCGATAACCCAAATTTATTTTTTTAATTGTGTGCTAAGTATATTTTTAAATCAAATTACTCGATAAGTAAAATTAGTTTCATTTAATGTTTAGTGTTTAACAATTTTTATTTATTACAATTTCTTTTTCTAAAATCAAAAATAAAGGGCCTAATATAATTGATGAAATATATCGTAGGAGAATTAAATTTTTGTAGAATAAATGGGTTTGTTCATGATGTTTACCTTTATCGCCGGGCACGTAGTACCATCAATTAAAATCGCAATTAAAATTTTCATATGCGCCGGCGGGAAATTTATTTTGTGAAATATACGGTGAGCGCTTAGCCCCTGGGCTCTCAAATTTCAACGTATTTTTTTTTAATAATTAAACTTTTAAAATGTAAAAAACTGACTTTAATAGACTCTGAGGTCGGTATTAAGGAAATCCATAACCATATATTGTTCCTTGCCTGCAGTAAGAGGCGACAATAGCATATGTCATAAAGATATATTTTTTTTGAAGGAGATGAGCTTGATTCAATACAAGCTTGGGACCGGCGTGAACAAAGTTCAAATATGTCTTATTTTGAAGATTTAAGTATTTGATAAGTATGTTAATAAATCATATTCTTGCAGGTAGATAGATATAAACCTCAAGTTATTTTGATCGCTTAGGCGTCTTATGAATTTGAGTGGCTGTCGTCATCAATTGTCCGTTCGTAGAGTTGTCGTCAAAATCTCTGAAAAACTTCGCAAAGTGAAGCAACAGTATATTGTGAAGAAAAAATCCATAAAAACGGAGATCCTAAGTGAAAAGAAGACACGGCTCAAAATACAAGCATCCAAGCCAAGATTCTTAATTAAAAAAGTTTTTATTTTGCTATAGTAAAAGCATTAGCTTTTGTTTTTAGTTCAAAAAATGTTTTTAAGAATGTCCCAAGTACAACAGGAATAAAAACTATTTAATTATGCTTACAATTTATCGTTTTATTACCTACATATTTTTGTATAACTGTTCCGAACGATGTCAAGCACCTAATTTCATTCATATATTTTAAAATTTTTGTCTGCCTTTCGGCTAATCCCAGAAATGGCTGGACCGTTTTTGATGGGACTTTCATTTGCAGATATGTTATAAAGAGTAACTTGAGCTATTTTGATTTTGAAAAAAGAATTAGGATTCCGCTAAAAAGTTAAAGCCATAAAACGCAATAGTAATAAACTCCACGCAAATCAAGTCGCGGGGAACAGCTGGTCTTAAATACGAGTATTTGTACAAGATGAATTAGATTTCTTCATATTATTGTTGTCACGGCGCAAGCGGATGGATAGGGTATAAAAAAAGTATAAATGAGTTACTTAATGGCTTTGTTATAAAAAATATGCATTGTTATATTTTTTGTACACTAGAGTAAATAAGCGGATATGTAAATCGGTATATATTTTTGTAATTATTTGAATTAATATAAAAAATAAACTATTATGAGGTGCTTTAGCACCCGTAGTTGGTTTCTAAGGTTTGAGACATCATATGGTAGCTATTTAGTGGTTATAAACTTGGCTCAAACGATAGTTAGCAGACTAATTTGCTGTAGAGAAGGCTATAAGGTTACTTTGATACTTAATGAACTCAGGTGTTTCTTAACGAATTTCCACAAGTCACTTTATTAATAATAATAATAATAATAAATTTATTTGAGACGTTAATAAGTCCTTATTAAATGTAATTGTATTAGTAATAATTTTTACTTAATGAATATGTTAGTAATGTTAGTATTTATACATAAAATACATAATTTATTATATTTTCAATCTTATTGTCAACTGTACCCAGTGCCGCTGAAAGTGGCAATCTGGCCTCCCCGCGATCATTTTCAGAATGCTGTTGTTACTGTTTCGCAGATGATGTAACATTAAGGCTGATTCCTTAAGCATTACAGCATAAAATCCATCAATCCTAGCACCCACGAACATTTACGAAGCACTAGAGCGCCATGGCGTCCCAACAACATCCTGAAAGCCTTATTGTATTAAACGTGAAGGGCGCTGTAAGCTCGTCGCCTGTAATACAGGCCGCTCGAGTAAAAAGACTGGCAGAATACTTTGAAAACAGTGACTTTTATTTTTGGGTTTCGTGTGGGGGTAAGTTATGGCGTTGTAATTTAATTATTTTTTCCAATAGTTTGTTCTTATGGCAGGTAACACAAAATTGCTGGCTCGGCGGGTTATATATTTGTTTATTTGACTTTTTGTTGTGAATTTTATGTGTGAGTGAATAAGCTTGTGAGTTATCTTGTAGATAAGTAGACATGTATTATACGTAAAAAGTTGTTTAATATTTAAAATTTTTGTGTTTTTGTAAATCGTTTTCGATGGTGTTAAGAAGTCATAGTTGTGTAAGATTTTAATTATTTTATTTTGTAATATTTGTATTGGTTTTAAATTACTTTTAGCTGCAGAACCCCATATTTCGATTTGATACAGTAAGTGAGGCTTTAACAACGTATTGTATATTAAAAGTCGAGCATGTTTCGGTATACATCGAACTATTTTATGCAGTGCGCCCACAAGTGAGGAGAGTTTGTTGTGAATATATTGCAAGTGAGCTTTCCATGTAATGTTTTTGTCCAGTGTTAAGCCTAGGTATTTTTCTTGGTTAACTTGTTGTAATATCTCACCGTTAATGCCAAGTTTAGGTCGATCAGGTATTTTTCTATTTTTGGAACTAAATATTATGTATGAAGTTTTAGAAGTATTAATTAATAGAGTGTATTGGAGCCAACAGTGAAGTATGTTATTTTCATACCTTTAATTCCAATACTTGCCTTAGTCGGCTCTTACGACATCTTAACCCTTTCGCTGTCCCGTGTACTACATATAGTTCATTGCTATAGCCTTACTATTGTGTCTGAAAAATATAGGACAGTGAGTGTTAAAATAATAATATCTACGACGTCGTGCATATGCGTCTTTGTACGTATCTTTGGGTACTTGTTCATTATTCGAAAGTCGTGAAGAGCAAGAATTGAAATGGGACTGACATGTTAAAAATAACGAAAGTCTCGAAATTAAAAATATAATTGAAATAGGCCAAGAAAACATTATCATCTTTAAACCTCAAGTAACGTTTCTTAACAAATAACCTTTGTAAATATTATAGAACATAAAGCTTTTGTTTCAAAACAGATTTTATAACAAGACAGACATTTTATGACAAGTTAGATATAAGTTTTTATGCTAAGACGTGCGATTTACCATCTAAGCCTTCATCACCACTTGCTACCACGTGGGATTGTGATCAAGTATTGGCTTATAAAAGTGAAATAAAACAAATAAAATTTCATTATTGTTGCAGACTATATCGCGAGGTATGGTCGGATGGCCGAGCAAGCTGCAAGGCGTAAGTTCTGGCAGATCTTGTCCGCTGTGGAGTACTGCCACGAGAGGCGAATTGTGCACAGGGATCTCAAGGTATACCTTATTTTTCCGACGGATAAATATAAATAATGAGGTGCAGAAATAAGTCGCAAATGGCGCACTACACGGAAACTTGGCCCGCCTTGAATTTCACTTCGCGCGAGCAACTCAAATTCAATGTCTGCTGGCACTATTCACACGACCTCTGTGTGGAATAGTTTACCACCGGCGATTTTTCCGGACCGATACGACCTGGGGACCTTCAAGAAAAGAGCTTACTCCTTTCTAAAGGGCCGGCAACGCAATTCCCTTGGTGTTGCGGTTGGTCATGGGCGGCGGTAGTCACTTAACATCAGGTGAGCCGCATGCTCGTTTGCCCCCTCTTCTATAAAAAAAAACTATTGAAGTAATAAAGCGCAAAACATCGTGAGGAGTTCTGAATGTCTGATAAATTAAAAAATATCATGGACCCTTTTACTGTAATCGAGGCATTCCATCCTAGTCTTCAGTGGTGACTACGCTAAATGTGGATGTTTATGGACCACAGCATCCACTTACCATCAGATGGACTGTATGCTCATTTGTCACCCAATGTTATAAAAAAAAGAAAGGGATAAACGACCTGACTGACCTTAAATGTTAGTATAAAGTTTAAACAATGGCACGCTAACTTAACGTCACCGGTTCAAATTTACGTTTTTTTTTTAAATGCGCAGTCTACTCCGTTAAGAATTTTTGTCGGCCGTTGAACTACTGTTAATAATCCATTTACGCGACAACTAAGTGTAAATCTTGCTTGCTCTGCTTACGATAGTCGCCTGTAGATGAAAAAGAAACAAACTGTTAATTTCGAGATTATTACTTAGTAACTATAGCGTTATTGTTTCGCATCTATGTTAGTTATTTTATAAATTAGTTCAGTATAGATTTTTAAAACATAAACGCTGAATAAGAGTATAGCTGTGGCAAATATCCCTCTACAAGGCAGATAAGGCAGTATATGGGGGAGGCCTATCTTTGGTAGTGGACTTTTGATAGGCTGTATAGTAATATTAAATTTCATTAATCTCTATAGTCTTCAAGCTTGAGGCACGACCGTCGATGAAAGTCATTTTAATGGTATTTGGATGTAATATCATAAATTACCTATATACATCATATCGCGACATATTATACACGTACCTATGTTATAAAATAAAAGTAATTTAAGGAAATGGCTTCATTATCGTTCCCGTTTTTTTAGAATTTACGTAGCTGTTCATAACTTTTCAAAAAGCTCTCAGTAAATGTTTAATGTGAACTTCAATAAAATTTGAAAAAAAAAAACCTTAAAACATACAATGCATTTCATTACCTAATGTTTTGTTACAAGCGATTATGTTACGTAATATACTTGGTATTTTCGTACTTTAATCTTATAGCTTAGCGTAAGCATCTATAAGTAAGCAAGTAATTCATTAAGCTTAGACGGATTAAAGGATTAGGAATTTAAGGAAATGGTTACAAGATACTGTTTGTAAGTTACATTTTGATTAAAATTAAAAAAATATATTCTGAAACAAGTAAATGTAGTATCGGATAGTGATCTCAAGCACCAGCCTCCTTTCTCTTTCCTCTTTTCTGAATACGCTGTCTATCATGTTGCGCAAATGCGGTAACCACATACCGGCTCTTAATTAAAAATGATTGATGCACTAATTTTACGGATTTTATCTCGTTAAATTTTACTTATTTTAACTCATTTTCAATTATGTGTGTAAGCAATCAATGACTAAAATTATTAAAACATCAATAGAAAATGCATCATAATAATAGCATCAATTTAGAAAACCTGAATTCCTAACAATGCTATTATTTCTCCGTAAATTAAGTTAAAAACCCAGTAGTACAACTCGCAAAAAAACGTGTTTATCACCCATAACATAAATATTTCTACATATATTACACCTATGTATTGTCCATTAAATTATTTTTACTTCTGTTTAATCAGGCGGAAAACTTGCTGTTGGATGCGAATATGAATATCAAGATTGCAGACTTCGGCTTTAGCAATTATTACGCCACTGGTGAGCTTCTGGCCACGTGGTGTGGATCTCCACCCTACGCTGCGCCGGAGGTGTTCGAAGGCAAACGGTACACGGGCCCGGAAATTGATATATGGGTACGATATTACTATTTTACCTACGCTTTATGTTAATATGAGATAATATGTATTATGGCAGCTGTACACGCTCGTCGAGACACCACGAGACAGGCCTAGTGCGATTGTATACATGGTGCTCTCGTCGCATCGCGTCGCGTCACGTGGCCCTCGTGAGCTTTCGGAAGCGCGTCGGTCTTTTGCGCTCGAGTCAAAGGGTCTCGTGAGTCTCGCGATTAAAACGAGAGCGTACTCTAATCTATTCACCGTACATGTTACTGTTACGGTAAATAGTAACTATCCACCATCCCTTCTTCGCAATGGCTTATTAATTTTATTTTTTATTAAATGTGTAAAAAATTATAATAGCTCAAAGGCAAAACGCAGCAACAGTTTTATCTAGGTTCATCTCGGGGGGCATACAAGTTCAAATGTTATGATACAACGAGTGTGTACATGGTGTGCTATCGTTTCTCGTGTCGAGCCTTTACGCGACGAGAGGTACCTACACGAGACAAAGAGACGAGGGTGTACAGCCGCCATTATAATAAATAGTAAATATAATATAAATTTACACCAGTTACACAGATTAACGAAGCTGTTGCCATGTCTCAGACAGTAAAAAATACCGGACCGCTTCATCCGGGTGAACTTTGTACATAAAGATAGTGAAATATAAACATTGGGAATTTGGGATGGCAACGTTCAAATCGAATAAATTATTATTTAGACAGTAGACATAATAGGCGGTTATAAGCACAGAATATATTTTTTTCTGTTCAATGGATGTGAGATAAAAGTATTGAAACTATTTACATGCGTCATTTAAAACAGCTTCATTGTATGTGTTTTGTAATTTAATGAGTTTCTTTAAAATTTCTTTAAAATCTCTCAGTGTACAATTTATACATTAAGGTTGGTGTAAATTCATAGTGGATTATTTTAATGTCGGCTTATACTTTATATTAGTTTAATTTTTTTACTGAATGCATCTGCAATTCCCCTGGTGTTTCAACGTTCATGGGCGGCGGTAATCACCTGTAAAAATTTTTTTTATTGAAAGATTATTTTAAACATTTACTTTTTTACCATCACAGAGCCTCGGGGTGGTGTTATACGTGCTGGTATGCGGCGCACTGCCATTCGATGGTTCCACACTTCAATCACTCAGAGATCGTGTTCTCTCAGGGAGGTTCAGAATACCTTACTTCATGAGCGAAGGTAAGTGATCAAATTAGAATGTGTTTACGAAAGGTAATAAGTACAAGTTCGAATAAATAATGGATTAAAAATTCGTCTTTTAGTAAAATAAGATCTAAAGAAAACCCTGTCCGAATTGAAACTTAGGTAACGTAATGATATTGCTAAGAAATTAATACATCATATTATTAATGAATATGAAAATGTTATCGTAATTTAAAATGAACGATTTTTACTACAATTTGCTTATAATTTGGCAATTTTTTAAAAATCTGGCTACACCATTGTTGCTGAAAGTATCTTTTAAAGTGTGGTGGTATTTTACCGTTACAGCCTATTAAAGTCTACTGCTGAACATATGCCTGCCCCATAGACCTACCCAACGACTTGTAATTTGTCTGTCAACGATTAAGAGCATCCCAACGGGTCAGGATTTAACGTTTTACGCGTCAATTCTTTTTGATTAACTAAAGAAAAAATTACTAATCATTGAAGAAAAAATTCCTATTAAATGTTCAAATCTTGCTAAATATTTGTATAAAAAATTATACTAATAATAGACGATAATAGGTATGCAGGCGATAATATGTATTATGTATATGTATATTAATATTTTACTTATGTAAAAAATTTACTGAGAATGTGTCGACTCGACCGGGGGACACCGCTCTCAGAGAATACCAGCGTAAAGTAGCAGCTCAACGCTGCAGTGTTTCATATGGTGAGTGTAGAGAACCGGAGACCCTTTTTACTGGAAACGAGGCATTCCATCTTAGTCCTCACAGGTGACTACGCATCTGCATTTTAATTCGTAATCGAGGATACGAGTAAGATATAGATGTCTATGGGACACAGTAACCACTTACCATCTGATGGACTGTGTGCTCGTTTGTCACCCTTATCCTATAAAAAAAGGTTAGAATTCATCAATCAGACTTTAATTATGAGAATAGTAAAAAGCTAAGACAGTTTTGTTACTACTATTTCTGTCAATAAAGCTGTCGGAAGCAAGTTTAGATGAGTGTAAACTGTGAATAGTTATTTTCATTTCTATAATGATATGTATCAACATGTAAACAGTACATAGTTAGTTACAGAGGTTTTTCTCAAGTTGGAAATATTTGACGTTATAAATGCGCTCGTGGCAGACGGATTGGTCACCGGCTCTCGTTTCCACCTCATAAATGTGACGTAGTTTCCCATCGGCTTCGTTCTTACTAAATAACACTATACGGGATGTGAAATGTGTAAACGGTGGTTAGATACGGGTTTTTCTCCAGTTGAATACATTTGACGTTATAAACGCAAGTGAGCCACATTGGCCAATCGCCTCTTGTTCCAACCTCGTACATTTGGTTTTTTTTATTATGGGCTGACTCTATGGGCTGAAATATGCTTTTTCCTGTCATCACAAGCCAAAAGTAACTTTTATTAGGTACAAAATTAATGGTAGCTTTTTTATCTAATCACATTATTTATAAAATTTATCCATTAAAAGTTCCTTCTTTAAAATAGAGATCGTGCGTTTAAAACAAGAATCGTGCTTATTTGCTAAAGAAAAACTAATTTACCTTATCACGGTACAGTTTGCTAAGAGATTGACTTCGGATCTGATTGATCACGCTTCTAACAACATCGCTTATTAGTCCCGCAATGTAGTGTTCTTGATGAGATTTCTTGAGATTCTTCCACTGTTACTACGGCAACAAGACTTTAGTTATACCTAAAGAAATGACGTAAGTATAGAATTCATTGACTCTTATACTGTTACTATGGCAACAAAACTTCAGTTATACCTAAAGAAATGACATAAGTATAGAATTCATTGGTTCTTTAGAATGAATACTTAGATTAATAATAATGAAGGATGGAATAAAATAAATAAATAAATAAAAAAAACAGCGCTACATTGCTTAAAAATAAGGTTATTTCTGATAAAACTAAATGTATATTTGGTATATTTTTATAATATAAAGTTACTGATGATGTGTTAAGAGCGATTTCAGGTTGTGCTTGGAGTTTGAGAAAACAATAAAAAAAATTCATTATTATATCGTATGATAACGTTTTTCGAGAAATTTATACAGGTTTATTTATTTCATGCGAGGAAAATTCTCTCATATACGGTAACCATAATACTTTTGAGACTTAACTATATATTCTACTTTTAAAAAGACGATTTATTTAGTGCTCCGTGAATCAACAAAATGGAACACTTGAGGAATCATCAGTGTTTTGTCCCTTCGTTTGCAATTAATTTCAATTATATAAACACACGTCTTGTAAAAACTTTCGACATTTACTTTTACCCGGAATGCGAAGTGTTATGCGATGCCGTGGAAGTGGAACCTATAGTTTAGTAAAGACGGAAGAGTGTGTTACTGTGTTAGTTTTAACAATTATAGCTTTATAATCACCTGCGCAATTGTACATTTTGTACTGTAGTAGCGGCTAGAAGAATCATACCATAATACACGTTAATATTTTTGTATATTAAATAATATTATTTTCTCCGAAAGTCAAACGAATGCTCAACATACTGGTACATTCCATTACTTTGGCAACCTTCGTCGATGACGTACCCAGGCGCGCATAACTCACACGTTCGGCACGGACGAGGGCAATTAAATGCTCATGCGCTGCTAGCGCGATTACAAAAGATCATTGTTGAGTCACATGCATGAACGCGTTGATTGGATAGTGTACCTACGGTAGTGTAGCATAAAGCGAGGTGGGTCGTTGTCCGGGATAAAACATGCGTTTGGGATTGATCTACCAGAATAATCTAATACACGTTTACATGGCAGTAAAACTGTTTTAACTAGATTTGAAGCAAGTTGGTACGACTGAGTGGGATCTAGGTTTTTTTTATAGGATAAGGTTGACAAACGAGCACACAGTCCACCTGATGGTAAGTGTTGACGCCCGTGAGGACTAAGATGGACTACACTCACCGTGCGGAACCCAGCGGCGTTCAGCTGCTATTTCACGCTAGTATTCTGAGCGTGGTCCTTCTCCGGTCGAGCCGACCTATTCGTGCTACAACTATACTGCTAATATAGCTGCAGTATGACTCTACCATGTCTAAAAGGTGGTAGGTGGTAGGGTTCCTATTCATCCTGAGAGTCCGTTTGAGTACATACCACCCTCTTACCTTAATTCTGCCACCATGTAGCAGGTATATAGAGCCAGTATGATCACAGGCTGTGAGGCATGCCATCTCAATCCTCGGAGGTGGCAACACTCCTGTCTTTGTTTGAAGTTGACTGATTGTCGATGCCCATGGATTGCAGTAACCATTTACCATCAGGTGGAGTATGGCTCTATCTCGTATATATATACGAGGTAGAGCCATGCTGCAGCTATATTGTGGTTGCAGCATGAATGGGTCGGCTCGGCCGGGGTATGACCACGCTCTCCCAGAATACCAGCGTAAAATAGCAACTTAATGCGGCTGTGTTTGATGGGTGTGTAGAGAACCGGGGACCCTTTTAACTGGAAACGAGGCATTCCATCTCAGTCCTCAGGGCTGGCAACGCATCTGCGTTTTAATTCTTAATTGAAGATAAATGTAGCTGTCTTTGAGCCACAACATTCACTTACCATCGGGTGGACTGTGTGCTCGTTTGTCACCCTTATACTACATATAAAAAATATGAGGGATAGATTTTAGATTAAATTGGATGAGATTATAGGGACGGACATTAAATATTTATAGTGTCCTAGAACAGAATATTATTGGATTACTACATGCCATCGTAAGTGCCCAATGCGAATGATATTCAATCTTAAAGTGATCTCTTAAAACTAGGTTCGTATAACAGAATGTCTAGGACATTAATTTTATAATAATTTAACTTTATTTAAATGTAATCATAACAGTGTTATTTATGAACATTATTGACGAGTAAACTATTATCGTTGTAACGTGTAACATTTAAATTAACCTAAAATAATTTAAGTACAAGCTGGATGAAAAAATATTACAACAATGTAAATAAATTAATGGATAACATTTAAGACATTAGTTATTAAATTAAATTTTAAAGAAACAGTTAATTAATACATTTCGTCAATTTGGAAGTAGAACGTGGAAATAAATAGGACTGGAGAAAGTTTAATGACGAATAGTATTACGTAAATCACGGTTTTCTATTATCATAAATTTTATAGAATTATTCATGTCAAAATTATGTTGCAAAGAAATAAAGCAACTTATAAGCGTTAACGATTTTTTTATGATCATATCTCAAGGTGATGTCGGAATTGAGGTCGAGAGGTAGTTTACCTTTTTATCTATTTCAACTAACATCTTCAACGTGGGAAACCCTTCTTATTAATCAGACGTATTTATAAAACAATGACATCATTTAAGCATCTGTTTAGAATATAGGAACTTATTAAATTATTACGTTATTATTTCTACAGTTTGATAACAAGCTTACTTTTATAGCAGGAATTACGGTAGGTAAACAGAGTACAAGTATCTTCCATAGTAAAAGTATCTTCGAAACTGAGTTTTGAGCAAACTGTGTTAACAAGTCAGATTCAACGGAAAAACTTAGAACAAATAGACGCTTAAGAAGGGAATTCTTTTATAAAAGCAAACCAGTCTGCTCGGCGCGCATTCCTTTCAGAATTCTAGCAAGGCGAACAGCATTTTATTCAACATAAAGGATAATAAATTTTTGTCTTTCGTTTTTATTATTTTACAAGCATTCAATGATGACATATTTTTTCAAAAAGAAAATAAATTGCATTGCAGTCTCAAGAACAAGGTCGATTACCTGCAGTAATATGTATTTATATAATAAGTTTTTTTTTTTTCAAAACAGGTTTTTTCTTTAAACTGGAAATATAATTTTGATATTTGGTTGTTTACTAACGATGATTATAAATATCATGAAATTTTTCAATAAATTATACACTGACGTTGTAAATAGTTTTATATTTACATAATAGACTCGTTATCTCTTTTCTTCCTAATTAACGTTATCGACTAAAAATAAAGACAGTGAATA